GCTCAGGTCATGATCCTGGAGTCCCGGGATCGAGTCCCGCATCGGGCTCCCTGCTCAGTGGGGAGTCTGCTTCTCCCTCTGACCCTCCCCTCTCTCATGCTCTCTGTCTCATTCTCTCTCTCAAATAAATAAATAAAATCTTTAAAAAGAAAAAGAATATCATTAGATTTTTGAGAGCAGCCACGTTCCACAATACCGGGGGCTGTGTCACACACCCCAGTTTAATTCAGAGGCTGTACCAGGTTCTGTTACCTGTCATATGGTACTGGATGACACAGAAGGTGGTTGATCACTATATCTGTGTACTTGGGCCTGGAGATAAACAAACTCACAGTATTTATGATTTGTCGTCGGACTCTAGGCTGGCTGATTATGCATAGCCGGGCACAGATAACTCCCATAATTTCTGGTACCTGAAGAAGGAAAACAAATCACTAAGACCTTAATCCTGTGGGACAATGACGGTTACCGAGGATACTGTAGCTATTTCTGAAAGGTCCTGGAGGTGTCAAGAATTTTTAGTATTTAAAAGAGTATTATCAAAAATACTTAAGGGGCACCTGGGTGGGCAGTTGGTTGAGCGTCCCACTCTTGGTTTCGGCTGTGGTTGTGATCTTGTGGGTCCTGATCTCATGGGTTGTAAGAATGAACCCCACATCAGGTTCCGTGCTCAGCCAGAGTCTGCTAAAGATTCTCCCTTTGTCCTTCTTCCCCCACTCTCTCGCTCTCTCTCTCCCTCCTCAAATAAATAAATCTTTTTAAAAAAATATTTTATCTATTTATTTGAGAGAGAGAGAGCAAGAGAGCGCACAAGCAAGAGGGAGGGGGCAGAGGGAGAAGCCAATTCCCCATTGAGCAGGGAGACTGACATGGGGCTCAATCCCAGGACTCTGGGATCATGACCTGAGCTAAGGCAGACGCTTAACCGCCTGAGCCACCCAGGTGCCCCAATAAATAAATCGTTTAAAAAAAACTACTTAAAATAGATCTGTATGTGTGTATACATATATAAAATGATTTAGAAGAACTTACAAGGATATTGATAATGTGACTTTGAATGATGGGATATTTATTTTTTTGCTTGCATATTTTTTAATTTCTCCTTGATGACTATATATTGATTTTATAATAAACCAAACTAGTAAAAGTGTTGCAAGGAAGTTGGAATTTTTTTCCACTCTGCTCTGAGAATGCCAGAGGAAACCATACTTGCCTTTCACCCAGAGATGTCTACCATACTCAGGAAACAGGAGCCATTGGGCTTTGGTCCATTTTTCTGCTTGACCTACTCTGCCCACTCCCAGATTCATGGCTTCAAGTCTCTGTGGAAATGTCAGCCTCTCAGAGAGGCAGTCCTCACCACCCTTATAATAAAATGGCCCTCCTTATGCCCAGTTGCCAGAAGCTGGTTTAAGCTGGCATGTGATGCAATTCTGGCCAATGAAATATGGGAAAAAATGTGTTAGTGGCTTTTGGGAAACAATTTTCTCCCTGATTACAGGGACAAAAGGAAGGCAACATCTCTCTTCTTGGCTGGATACAGCCTTATTTGCTCATAAAGTCTGAAACTGCTGTGATCACCTTATGACTGCATGAACGGGCAACATGGCAGATGGAAAAGCCCCTGCCTCTTTGATAACACTGCTGAGTTGCTGAACCAAGCCTAGAAAATACTTCCAGACTTCTTATTATAGAAGAAGATAAACCTTTATTTCTTTTTAAAGATTTATTTACTTATTTGAGAGAGAAAGAGAAAGAAAGAAGCGCGTGCGTGGGGTTGGGGTAGGGGCAGAGGTGGAGGGGGAGAGAGTCTCAAGCAGACTTCCCGCTGAGTGCAGAGCCTGATGTGGGGCTCCATCTCATGACCCTGAGATCATGACCTGAGCTGAAACCAAGAGTCAGACGCTTAACCTACTGTGCCACCCAGGCGCCCCAAAGATAAACCCTTTAAACTTAAATTGTGTGTAAGTTTCTCAGAGTTGGTCTTTTTTACAGCTGTAAGTACACAACTGATACAATGGCCCATCTCACCATGTTCTCATCACATTATTCTTTTTGCATCTTTGCTATTTTAATAGGTTAAAAAGTGGGTTTTCATCATTTTAAAATTAATTTTCATTTTTATCAAAGTGCAACACATATCAATTTAAAAAGTCCAGTGGTACTTCAAGGCTCTCTCCTGCCTATTCCCCAGGTATGCTTTCTAGAGACTACTATTTTTAACCCTTTTATCTCTTTCAGTATGTCCTTTCATATTTTTTTTAAAGATTTTATTTATTTATTTGACAGAGTGCGTGTGAGTACACAAGCAGGGGGAGCAGGAGAGGGAGAAGCAGGCTCCTTGCTGAGCAGGCAGCGAGCAGGGAGCCCAATGCTGGGCTTGATCCCAGGACCCCGAGATCATGACCTGAGCCGAAGGCAGACACTTAACCAAATGAGCACCCAGGTGCCCCTCCTCTCACATTTCTAAATGATATAATTATATTGTTATTTCTTGCTGTGTCAACTTCAGATACATTTAAATAAAATCTGTTGATTTTAGCTTATTAAGTTGGCCTCCTCCTAGGATTGATTATGGCTTGATTATTTATTTATTTATTTTTAAAGATTTTATTTATTTATTTGACAGAGAGAGACACAGCGAGAGAGGGAACA